TGTTGACTTCCCTCCTTTCCTGTTTCATTCCTCCATCCTTTACCCCTGTTTCCTGGGATCACATTTTCAAATAAACTGACTTCACACGAACTTATATCTCAAGTTCTGCTTTAGGAGAAATTCAGCCTAAGATACCTTCCTCCACCTTCAAATCTTATTCCTCCAGAGTGGAGCCCCCTGGAACAGGGTGCTTCCCTGGAGTCTCACAAACTGTCACACTCCCCTGGCCTGGATGGACAGCCAGTTCTACCCTGGCTGCCCTTTCGGCTCCTTTGAGTTCCCAGTCACCTTCCCATCCCTCCCTGCCTTCTCTGTTCCCCACAGCTAGAGGCAGAAATGAACCTGGAAAATAGGTGCCCACCAGATTATGAAAGACTTTGGATGCCATGCCCAAAATTTATAGGCCAGAAGAGATCCACTGGATGCTTTAATCAGGGGAGCAATGTGATCACATGTGAGAAGAATAACTAATGACAGTAGAGAAGGTAGCCGAGAAGAAGAAAGTCTGGAGTCTGGATTAAGAACCAAGAAAGTGCAGGAATATCCACTCTGATGATGGCCATCTTCTCTTCCACACTGGTTGTCTGCCAATAATTCTGGGCCAGTGGAGTGGAGCCAGGGCCCAAGGGGATGGTAGATGTGCCCCTCCCTGAAGTCCGCCTGTGGTGGGCTGGGTTGGCATGGAGGGATAAACAGGGGAACTGCTGATGTGAGAAATGTGGTTGAAGGGATGGACCAGGGGACTCTGACTGGACAGGGAAGGTAAAGCAGCCAAGAGGCAAGGCTGACGGTCTGAATCAAGCAGTCAAACAGTGATGGGTTTGAGAAAGAGCAAGGAGGTGGAACTTTAAAATGTCCATTTTACACCTTTAGTACAATTCTGGGTGGAAGGCTTGGTGTGGAATCCATGGACACTAATCACTCAACAGGGCTTGGGGATAATCAGTAGATTACAAGGATAATTGGGCTGAATATGCAGTGAAATTCAATCCTGTTTAACTTATGGGAACTGATTATCTCATTTCAGAATCTAAAGTAAGACAGGACAAAAAACTTTCCATGAGTTCAGCATAAAAACTAACATGGGGCCGTGGGCACAGGGCTAGAAAAATGCCACAGTCATGTTCCAAAATGTATTTAGAAAAATGCCCACTGTGGTCAGAAACTAATCACATAGCATTTGGAAGTGTTGATAAGACTGATAAAAATATAAGTAAATTAATAATCTTTTAATCCAACTTTAAGAATAAATTTGATTCACCAATTTGGCAATTTTTCCCTGTTCTGAATAATTAAAATTTTTCCTTTTCTTTCTGTAATTGAACAACCGATTATTCACTATCCCTTTTACTACTGAAAATATTTTCATATATATGGAATTAAACAGCCAAGATAAATGCAATAGGCCAAGATAGGAATGAGGTCTAGAAACTATCAAGGAGGTTTTTGTTACTTGTTTGTTTTGTCCTTTTACTTGTAAATAGTTGTAAGGGACCAACATTATCACCTCAGCTAAACTTCATTTACTACTTTGAAAAAATACAGAAAGATATATCAAGGCTTTAAAAAAAGGCAAATCAATATACGTACCAATAGAAAAATAAATAGCCAAATCCCACTGCATCCGTTGTGTATTGCCACGCTAATGCTGAGTAACAAACAGCCACAGATCCTCACTGGCATACAAAACCCAGCATTTGGTGTTCACATATCTGTGCGTGGGCTGTGTGGTTCTGCTGATCTTGCTGGGTTCACTCAAGTGTCTCTGAGTTGGGGGGGTGGCTCTGATGTACTCAGAGCTTTATTGAATCAGCTTAACTGGGGAAGTTCTGCACTCACTGTCCTTCTGGAACCAGTAGGCTAGCTAGAAATATCCTTCTTATGGCAATGGCAGAAACTCGATTGCAAAGTCCCTTCTCAAGACTCTCCTTGTATCACATTTCTAACATCCCATTGGCCAAAGGCAGACGACTGAGCCCAGGGGTGGACATTACACACTGTCCACAGTGGGACAGTGCTGAAAAGTTGTATGGCAAAAGGCACTCCTGCAAGGAGGAGAAAATGCAGCCAGTAGCACAATCCACTCTACCCACTTTAAAGAATTTATCCAAGGAAATGTTTTAACAAGATAAAAATAAAGTTATGCACAGGAATGTTCAGGAACATACCAATTACAATATGGAAAAATTAGAAACTTAAATATCTTTGAAGAGGGGCCTTTTTAAGCACCTCATGATATAAGAAAATAAAAATGTATGTACCTGTTACAATTGAAGTAGATCCTTTCTTTTTTAAATGGAAAGATGTCTACTACATATTGTAAAGTGGGAAGGATAAAAACAACAGAGTGAATGATATGAACCCATTCATGTAAAATGTGTATATATTTCCACATGTGTTACATGGATAAGAAATATCTGAAACAATGTCATCGGAGGTTTTCTCTCAATTGTCAAGTTTTCAGTGCTTGTTTTTCCCTGTATCATTTTATTTTTAAAATGTACAAGTATTTTTACAGAAGCAGTAAAGCGCTAAAAAAAATAAATAAATAAATTAGTCATCTTTAAAATCCAAATATAGGGGAACAGGTGAATGACTAAGGAAGATGTGGTATAGATGCACATGCAATGGAATACTACTTGGCCATGAAAAAGAATACACTTTTGCCATTTGCAAAAACATGGATGGAATTAGGGGGTATTATGTTAAGTGAAATAAGTAAGACAGAAAAAAAGCAAATATTGTATGATATCACTTTTTTTGTGGAATCTGAAAAATATAACAAACTAGTTAATATAACAAAAAAAGTAGCAGGACAAACTAGTAGTTACGAGTGGAGAGAGGGTAGTGGTAGGGGCAATATAAGGGTAGGGTATAAAGCGGTACAAACTACTATGTATAAAATAAGCTATAAGGATAGCTGTCTGTCTGTTAACATACACTGCGAGAGCTTTGCATCATTACCAAGCAGCCAGACTTCCTAGGTTAGTGCTGAATCAGTGATACATTCATTTAAACCTTGAATCCCAAAAACCAGCTAGAGATAGTATTTGTTTCTTTACTCTAAACTCCTGTAGTTCATTTTTCCAGTACGACAGCACTTACGTATTACTGATTTACATTTGAAGCATTTTCCTTTGGGACCTGCTTTCCTTCACTGATTGTATATCCCTAAAAGGCAAGAACAGCATCTGTTCATCAGTGAAGCCCCAGAACATCTGCTACACTGTCTGGTAAACAGTAGACTCTCAATAAATGGTTTCTTAATAAATGAATAAATTGGATTTCTGCTTCTCATTCTGAGCAATCAAAATTAATCTGATGAGATCAAATTAAAAGAGCACTGGACTTTGAATATGGAGATGTAGTAGACACTGTTGGTTATCAACTCCACATTCACTTTGCAACGCTGTCATCCCTTATAGTAAAACCTGCCTCCAGTGTTGGATACTTAAAGTGCTAGATATTTACTTTCTCTGTCTTCCTTGCAATTAGAGATAAAAATGTAACCAAGTTCTAGCCAATATGATCCGTGAAGAAACCTTTGGAGAATTATTTCTTGGAAAAACACACCTCCTAATTTAAGAGGGGGAGAAGGAAAGAATGTGAAAGAGAAGGAAGAGATAGAGGTGGAGAGGGGAGGAGGGAGAGAGAGACAAACTCACAGAAGAAAGAGAGAGGGGGAGAGGGAGGCACAGAGTGGGAGAGATGGGCAGGAAAAGAGGAAGGGAAAAAGGAAAAGAGAGGGGGAGACGGAAAGGGAAAGAGAGAGAGAGAGAGATCTCCTATCTCTTTCCTCCTGCTTTGGATTGATTCTATAATGTGAATATATGATGGCTGGAGCTGTTGCAATAATCTTGTGACTTTGAGAGGCATGTCAAGAGAATCAAAGAGACACAAGTCTAGCTCCTTGAACTAACCTGGAACCACTTGCTTCCAGTCTTCCGTTTTTGTGAGATTATTAATGGTATTTTGTGTTTAAGCCACTATTAGCCAATTATTTTGTCACATGTGGCCAAAAGCCTCCTATTTGATGTGGAAGATGCAGGTTTTAAGTCCCAGCTCTGCCACTTACTATCTGTTTGACCTCAGAAATTTTCTTAATACCTCTGATTCTCCATTTCTCTATCACGACTTCCTCACAGAAATAGTATAATGAATGACTACAAAAATTAATTTAAATTACAGGTTGAAGATAAAGATATCCTCACATTTTGTCTATAATTGTTGACAGATCATGTTTTCAAATCCCAAAATCAACAGGAAAAGAAAAATATACCACAGAAACAAAATCAGAATCTGCCAAAGAGCAGAAGCAATTAAAATTTTCATCTCTCAATTAAAATTTTCATCTCTCTAGATCACCTTCTTTCAAAGAGAATTCCCAGAGATTCACTTGACCAAGTCCAAGGATTCTTTTTTTTTTCATTCAATATTATACCATGATTTTAAATAATAGGAGTTTCAGTTTTTTTAAATACTTATTGAAAGTGGACCAGGAAATATTTTTCTGGAATATAGTTATAGCAAATATGGACAAATTACAGGATGAATCTAAGCTGTTTTCCTATCACAGGTTACACAGTAACTTACGGTGAGTAGTGGCTCAGGCAATTTGAGTATGGGGTAGAATTTCCTGATTTTCATCCCAACTCCACCTTTCCAAGAGGAGGACGGATTCTTGACCATATTTAGTCTGTATCAGATGTGTCATGGTGTCAGTGCATGATGGGAACTTCTAATCTGCAAGGCTAATTTTATTGTAATGAGGGTGTAATGAGCAAAAGGTTACATTTGGACACTGGAGATTCCTGCCTCTTCCCCCCTTTCTTTGCCGGCCTCCAGGCCACTTGTCACCCCGAAATGTGTGATCTCTTATCAGTCTGGAGTTTCCTGCCTTTGTCTGCTCAAGGACTCCTGCTGTTCACGAGATGTATGATTTCCTGCCATTTGGCCCAGGCCCCCCTTTCTCTGCTCATATCTAGCTGTCTGCCTGCTCTAACAAAGATGCCTCTTCCTGGAAAATCCAAAAGAGCTTGTTCTATCTTTGTTGTTGTTTCTCAGTACCATTTGACCAAGTTGAACATGGCCCCTGTCTTGAAAATCTTTCGACCATTAACTCCAAGACATAATAACTCTTCTGATTTCTTCCATTTCTGGCTACTTTCAACAATCTCTTTGAGCTTTTTTTCCCTTGGCCTATTATTTAAATATTGTTGTTCCTTGAGTCTCAACTACCTGCCTCCTTGTTCCTTGAGTCTCAACTACCTGCCTTGGTTTTCCAGATGTGGTCTGTGCTCTAGTAGCATCGCCAGGATCTGGAGCATGATGGAAATTCAGAATCTTGCCCCAAGCCTTCTGAATCAGAATCTCCATTTTAACAAGATTCCCTGGTGATTTATGTGCACATTCAAGTTTGAGAACATTTCTCCATGAGTGATCTCATCTCTCTGTGATTTCCATCACTACCCGTAGACCGATGACTCAAAGGTGCTCCTCTGACACAGCTCTCTTGTCTGAGCTCCACGCACATTTATTAAATTGCCGACAGGATATCTTCACTTGTTTGCACAACAGGCATATCAAATTTAGTGTGTTCCCGTGGGAAAGTCTGATCCCACATATTCAGATAAAGGGGAGATCATGAGAGAGGAATAATCATAAAAGACCCTATGTTGGAGTTGGGGTTGAACTTGGCCTGAGCCTCTGGAAAGGGAGAGCGGGGATTCAGATAAAGGGAAAGTGAAAGAAGGTATAATACACGTTCATCTTTATAACTGATATGCGATGCTTACTCCCAAGGCGGTAGTTTCCTGCCAGGGACTCTAAGGAGGAGGTAGCAGTTCAGGGATTCTTCAGCTGGTCTAAGAATTCACCTAGATCTCTTAGTTTCTACCTCTTCAAATTTCTTTTTGAGACAGGAGGGAGGGGGACAGGGCACAACCACTGAAGGACTGACACAGCAACTGAGGACAGGACGGACTGGGTAGAACCAAGAGGGCAGAAGGTTTGACTTCCAGTTGACCTTGAGCCTCATGGCACAGCCACACGGACAGGACAGTTCCCAGGCTGACCACAAAGGTCCAAAAGTGGGTGGGGCTGAATTCTTGGAAATCCCCGCCCCTTCCCCAAAATAGTTGGAATAATCCTCCTACTCGTTAGCATATGAAATTACTGAGCCCATAAAAACTGACAACCCCAAGACCTCATGGTCGTTCTCTCTCTTGCCTTCTGAGACAGCCTGCACTCTGTCTATGGAATGTGGATCTGCTTTTACTATAAACTAAACCCCCACACCTCTCAGTCTCTCTTCTTCTCGCCTTTTGAGATGGCCCCACTTCTGTCTGTGGAATGTGTATCTCCTAAGACGCCCTCCCTTCTGAGCAAGTTGGACCACACTCCATCTGTGGAGTGTGTACCTCTCTAAATGCACATGTTTTCACTTCACTATGCCTGGCTCTCAAATTCTTTCCCGCGGGAGACAGGAAGCTATTCTCCGGCAAGATCTTCATTCAGTGAACAGATGTTTATTGAGCTCCTACTATGTGTCAGGTACTGTTCTAGGTGCTGGAGATAAAGTAATGAGCAAAACACAAAAATTGATGCACTCACACTCTTGGTAGAAGTATTTATTTTCACCCCTTTAAATTAAGGGCAGTCATTTAAAAAGAGACCCTCATGCTAATCGAGTCGTTTGATCAACTCCCTGTCAAGCTCCAGGGCTCGGGAAGCATTCCAACACATCACATGAAATACTTTAAGGCAAAGGCTCTATGTTGGTGAAACTTACAAGAAAGGGTCAGTAGGCAAAAGGGGCCTGGATCTTTCATGTTCCATTGGCCCCACAGAAAGGTTTGCAGGAAGCTGACCCCTTGGAACCCCCAAGTGACTGACTTATTCAGTGCTCATATCTGCTAGACCCTGATTTTCAAAGAAGAATAAGATCTCTGCCCTCCAGCGGGGATGCAAGGTGAGGTGTGAAGGGAACAGTGCAAATCTGCCACCACGTCTGAGAAACTTTTTCCAAGTAGATGAATAAGTGTATCCGTCTAAATAAAAACAGTGTGAAACAGTCTGTTGTGTCCCTTATTTGATGCAGACTTCACTCTGAAACATTCCCCATTGCTTTGATAGACTAAAACCAGCACTCGAGCCCGACCACAGTAGTATACCATGAAAAATAAACGTGAAGTTTAGTCTATTAGAATTCAGTTAGGAGCAGAAAACATATTGCTAACAAAACACTAAACCACAGAAAAATTTACAGTGGAATTGTAGATTAACTGCAAAAATGGAGCAACCCCCTGACTCTTTCCTAAAGTGGTATTTTCCTCAAACCTCAAAGATCATGCCCTTAAATGTTTGATAATTGTAAAAATTTGCACTGTGAGTCACCAAACTTACAACTTTACAATTCTCTTTCCAAATAGCATTTTGGTGCTGATAAAATAAGATAGGGAAGAAAAAAGTAAAACTTTAATATTAGGGCCCTTCCTTTTTTATTTGACTTCAAACTCATTATGACATATTTCCAGAAATACACAATAGTGCCAAATCTCTTTCTCGATTTGGGGTTGGTTTTTCTGTATATTAGCTGTTGTTGTAAAATTATTGTGCCTCCTATCTGGAAAGTAAAATTCCAGACAACAGTTACTGACAAATTTTTCTGTAGTTCACGGATTCCTCAAAGAAAATGGATTTTCTACCCAGCTAAAATTAATTATCATTGTTACAGAAATCAGAATGCATCTGACAGCTTGAACAGAAAACACTGTGTGCTTTATATTCCTTTTTATCACATCAGTAATCACATTCTCCAAAATCAATTTGTATCTTATAATCTTCCTAAAGAAATAGCTACCCACTATATATGCTTACTGTGGAAGAGTCAGGCACAAAAATCACCTGAA